GTGTGTGTGTGTGTGTGTGTGTGTGTGTGTGTGTGTGTGTGTGAATTGTTACAGGACTTCAAACAGGATGGGGGTCTGTGTAACATTCAGCTTCAGAAGTTCTGAAATAAGGTTCAGTTGAAAGGTTATGAACAGTTAATATCTGACCTGTTGTYGATAGAGATTTGAATGACCTCCGTTTAGAAAAAATAAATGTTTAGTTCTGACCAAACTGACAGGTTAATGATTTTATTTTAATTTTTTATGAACCCTTACATCCCTGTAGGGCTGAAACAATTCCTTGAATAAATCAATTTGATTACTAAAAATCCGCCTCAAAGTGTCAGTAAAATTAGAAACTGTTAAACCATTCAGTGCATTTTTGTCCAGCTGGAATGTTATTTGTGTTACATTATGTGGTTATTTATTTAGAATTCTCTGGGTGTTTGCAAACATACAGCAGCAGCAGCTAGCTGTTGTCTCCAGCAAAGCCTGGAGGCATCTTTGGCAAGAAAATTATAACATTCCTGCTGAAGGATGCAAATAAACACAAACAAATGCAAAACCGAAGGTGATATAAATGTTTTAAAAAAACATTAAATGGTAGAATCTCACTGGGTTGGGACTGAGACAAGTCAAACATAAACATGTTCAAAAGTCTGAGCCCAATTTTGTTCTCCTGAAACAGTAGCTGAAGCTGTCTCAGACCTTTATTAACATTGTTGAGGTGACTTAAACCCGTCCCCGGAGAACAAGAGCTTTATTTTGACGCCTGCAAAAACATTTCACTCAGACAGAACGCATCACAAGATAATGATCAGGTCTTAAAAAATGAAATGCTTCACTGCTAACAAACAATTATCAAAAAATAGGTTCAAATCCCTCTGTCTTCCTTTCAAAAGTGTTCACCAGACTGAATCACAAATGTGGAAATGGCTGCTAAGGTGGGAAGAATGTGGAAGGAGGTGAGTTCAGCTTCGCAGGCCATGCAAGCAACAACATGGCGTTATTTTTTCAAAAGGTGCCTGCTCAAAACACAGCTTCATAACTAGCTGATTGCAAACACTTAAAACTCAGTGACACGACAGCAAAAACTGTTCCTGTTTTCTCACAATCATGAGTCCACAGTTAGTTTCCAACAGTTGTGAGACACAAACTACAGCATAAATGGCGGACTTTTTTTTATTTATTTGAGAGTGTTTCTGTAAAAGCACGTAATGGCTTCTCTCAAACTGGCCTTTCTTTGTCAATCCAGTCAGGTCAAAGAGCCATCCACAAGATATTGCTTATTCACTTTTCCATATAACTTCACTGTAAATGATTTTTTTTTATTTATTTTTTTTGGCTTGGCGTCGTTTTATCATTTAGGCTAAAACACATAAAGGATGGGTGACACCTTGTTTGGGGGTCTCCAGACTCACCTTCATGACTGTGTTGTAAGCTGAAATGTAGACAGTGAACAGGTCAAGATACCTGGTGGTGAAGACAAGTGCAAACAGCACCTGAGACTTCCCAGAGATGCCTGCGAATGACACAAAAACGTTCATTTTTAACAACCAGAAAAATACAAACAGCTGTTACCTATAGTAATAATAAAGCATTATTTGTCAGTGTATAAATAATGAAACAAAGCTCCTTGCAGGAAAGGATAAAGCACATATGGCTGAATTAAGGTTAGTTAATTCAATAGAAAATGTTTCTTCCAGTTTGATGCCATAAGGTGGAGTACACAGCACTTATGTTGACTCTGCCACGTAGCTGCCAGTCATCACAAAACACACATATCTACAGTTTTACTACAGAAATAATTTCCTGTGACTTTTTAAAAGAGTCCCAACTAAACTGCATAAATTGTGCAACCTTTTTGTCCAGCCACACAGCAGTCAGGACACAAGTTAAAGTCCACTCAAACAGGATCTTACCAGCGCAGGATTTGGACCTCCATATCTTCAGTAGCAAAATGATAATAGCCACCAAATGGGACACGTCGCCCGCCAGACGAAAGACATTCATGTTGTTAAAGTTCAGCTTCAACAACTTGATAAAAACTCCTCAAGGCTAATCACACTCAGAAAAAAAAAAAAAAAAACAGCGTTTGTTGTTTTTCCGCCCACAAAACGCAAACATAAGCTACCTACAGCAAGGCTTTAGTGATGCAAAAGCTTCGCAGCTGCCGCCAAACAGGTCGCTGGGATTTTTATTTTTTATAAAAACGTGCGTATATAAACAAGTGAAATGTCTGCAAATATCGCTGACAGCCTAGCTGTGAGAGTCCGAGTTGATAGTTGCCTTTCTGGAAGAGGAGGTGACGTGGCTACCAAGCTAGCATAGGTTAAATAAAACCATTTCCGGTTTGATTTTTCAAAGTAAACCGTGTTTACGTACACGCGCGCCGTGAAGGTTGATTGTTTCCGGTTTAATTGTCAAAGTAAAAATCTTACACGATTTGTTCGCGTTTATTGTGGGGTGTGTAATTAAATAAAAGTTGTTGGAATGGGTGATTTTTTTTTAGGTGTTGGGTGTGGTGGTGGTGGTGCTCTTTTCCAGCCACATAGTTCAATTCTATACCACAATAAGCAACTAAACTTTAAGTATAAATCAAGTAACTTTAATAATTTGCTGTTATAGTGAAAAAACAGCCATTATGTTTAAAGCCAAAAAAAAAAAATTCTTACTGGGAAACATTCAAAAGATTTTCTTTAAAAAGGAAGGACTTTATAATTTAAGAGAAAAATGTGAATTTAAAATTTTTTTTAAATGCAGAACCACAAGAAAAAGCTTTTGTATATCAGTATGTGGGGGTGAAGCTGTGGAACGGTTTAAGTATGGAAATCAAGCAATATTCAAACATAAAACAGTTTAAAAGGTCATTTAAGAAAATGGTCATCACTGCATTTCAATATGAGAAATAATTACGGTCATTGCTGCTATCATCAACGTCATTGTTTTTGTTTAATGAAGTTGTCAGTCATTACTGGTTTTGTTTAGAAAAAATTTACATGTTAAAAATTATGGATGCTTGCTTTTAATGGCATGCAAGTATGAATGTTTTGCATATGTTTTGGATATAAAACCTACTAAATAAGAAATAATGTTATAACCAAGTTATTATGAATTGTAACTATTGGATGATTCTATAGATGTAAGAGGGGTGGGTAAGTTAGTTCTGCCCACTCCCTTGAACATGCAAATATAATTCACTATTGCTCTTCTTTTGCTTGCTTTTTGTTCTAAATTTATTTTCCTTTTTACTTAACTTTGTTAAATATTTTTATTACATCATGTTCAATAAAGTCAAAGTCAAACTGTTATTCAATTGTGATGAAAATGTTGTAAATGTCATAAAATAAATTTGAAGGGTGCTCTGTGGGGGTGTGAGCTCGGCTGCAGCCTGAGCTCCAGGGAGGAGCTATGTACAAATAGGCGGTGCTTTGTACCAGCAAGTGTTTATGGTCTGAATGACTCCCACAGGAGATTCAAGGATTTCTCAAAGTTCCAGGAATGAATCAAAGCACCCTCTTCGAATAACGTCCACTTAATGGACTGACAACATTCAAAGAGGGTGAATCAAAGCAACATTCTGGGTATGTGATGATTGAATGGCATTATAATATTACATTAAGCTAAAAAAAATTCGATTTTGCATAGTATGCCCCCTAACATATTGACTTGACGTACTGTGGCAAACTTGACAGAAAGAGGCCCTTTCAAAAATAGAGACAATGCCCTAATAAAACAGCAGGTGGCAATATACTACAAGTAATGATGAAGCTTTATTTATCCRTCAGGCCTACAGCTCTCAGCTCTGGTTGTCTTTTGTCTGAATCACATTTTTTTCAATCATTCTATTGTCTTTCATATAACATTTGTGCTCTTTTTACTTGTTTAGCAGCTCAGTTGCTTGCTTTACGTTGGTTACACAACACATTGCCAAAGATTCAACCTGTTTTCACCAGTTTTCTGATGTCTACCCAAATGCAATTTGTAATCATGCTGCTACCAGTTCTTTTAAATTTGAATTGTGTTACAGCAAGTACACAAATTACACTGCCAAAATTGTCCATCAAACCAAGTCTTATAATCTTATATTCATCCAAAACATATTTTTTGATATTGTCTTTAGACTGATATGCTGAGCAAGAGAAGAATGTACTAGATTATTTATCTTGTTAGTCAGAAAACATTTCCTTATTTCAAGAAGTCTTACCAAGTGCCCTTGTCTTACTCAGTAACAGATTTTTTTACTTCATTTGACAAGCTTCAGACTAAACTCTAGTATTTTTAACTTATCTTTTAGATGGATAGTTTTTGCAGTGTACTCAGCATCTCATCATTCATAAATGAGAAAAATAAACACCTGCCCTCCCGCTCACTTTAACCTGCAGCCTGAGTTTTGGCAGCACATACTCTGCTCCTCTGCGCCCTAGTTTTGATGTCAAATCAGCTAAGTGTGCCTGAGATTGTCCAGAAATTACTTTGAGACAACTTTTTGACTCATAGTAACAAACGAGGACCATAAACCAACAAACAAGTGCTTCTCCTTCAGCACAGAGCCTTATTAATGCAGAGTCTGTCTTGAGGAGATATTTACTCAGTTTCACAACTCTCCAATTACAAACCTGATGYGTTTTTATAGCATGTGTGGGGAAAAAAAGTTGCATTCAGATAGACCTTGTTATTTTTAACATTCCAGAAGAACAAGGAAYCAAAGGATTCTCTCAGCATGTTTTTTGTTGTTATCCTGACTTGTAAGTAGGGTTTTTGGTTCCTAAAGCTGCAGCCCAATATGTGATCATAATGTTATGGCTGATCAATGTTGCAAACTATTCTCCAGTTTAAAGATAGCCTTATCTGAACTTCAGAAAAAGTTCATAAGTGACAAATTTGGAGAGTTGGAAAACAGGACACGATAATAATAATAATAATAATAATAAT